CCTTGTCTCTTTGGTTGGTTGGAGTGGGTGCGCGCAATACCCGCTATCAGGCAGCGCGTGATGAGGAAAGTAGACACATGTGCAGGAATGATAAGAACCTCAAAAAAGTAACCCAGAACGTTTGCCGAACTGCTCAAGAGAATAATCCGTACAATCCAGAAGGTAACCTTCAGGATCCTTCAGGTGGACTTAACCAAGTCTGCTTGAAGTCTTTGTTGATCCCCCATCATAGCCACTGCATTCCCGATTCTCACCTTATAAGGATCTCTCGTGCCACGTGATCCAAGGACAGTTGGTCGTTCGCCATCTGTGCCCGGGAGAGCAAAGCCTCGCCATGTTTCGTCTTCCCGCGTTGGGTAGGGAGGAAGGCAAGGAAGGCAAGTTGATTCTTCCTGGATATGCTGTTTTGGCATGTATTGTTTAAATGTTGAGTCTTGCATAGTCTTGCTTTGATGTTGAAAGCGAACGTTGGTAGCTCAGCTAGTACGTAAAATTCAAGAAGCAAACATCTTCAAAAAGCGTTTCACCAATTCTATGACACTCGCGTTTTCCCCACTCCACTCCACTCCCCAAGATCAAAAAATCATTTCCACACAGCAGTCGTTTGATCGAGATCGTTCGATGACAGTCGTAATGACAAAAAACATGAATCATGATCATGCAGTATGGTGAGAGCGAAGATGAAGGGGATTATTATTGGCCAAATCAGGGGATGATGATTTGGGATTAGCCAGTAACAACGTCATATCATCTATGTACGGCGGTGAAGCTGCAAATGTCATTCTGACTTGTCACCCAAAGTAGGATGATTCTTTTCCAGCTATATGTTCCTGGTCCGAACAGCTACTAGGGTTCCTTTCTATCCACAATGGCTGCAATTGAAGCCTGAGTATTCAAGTTGGACTGCAGGAACCATTCCATTCTTGTGAACATCTTGCAATGACCCTTGGCAGGTCAGGGAAGCCCTCTCTTAGGTGAAGCATTACCTATTACAGTAACGTTAGCCTCCAACCTGGAAGCGATGGCCTCCCCATTAAATCATTGAATCATTGAAGCTCGCAAAACTCTTGTTCTGCAAATGAAGATGTTGGAGCCTCGAACTGGAAATCCGCCTGAGTTCGCGGGTCATCACCAGCCTGCTGTATTGAAGACATTGAAGAGATGACTCAGCAATGAATCTGTAACTGTTGCTAGAACACTATCATGGGATGGCTTTCGGTCCCAAATGAAAAAATTGAACTTTGCCCCCTGCACTGCACTTCTGTTGCTCCTGTTTGCAGATTGATACCGGCACTTTAGAGGAAAGGAAGCCAATTCACCCGACTGCAGCCATTGTGAAGCCTTCCAGCAATCACTTGCAGGTAATGTAATGTAGAAAAATGGGAAACATCAATTTGAGCAATCCTCTTGCATGTTGATGTTCCCTGCCCGACCCCCAAATGTTCACATGTGGTAAAAGCAAAATGCATATTGAACGAGATCCACCTCCGGCATGGCACCAGGGAACGCCGCCTTGCCAACGAACGGGGATAGTAACAAGGACGCTACTAGGAGCAAAGGGCATCGCTACTAGGAGCAAGGACGCTACTAGGGGCTCCTGGCCTTACTACTAGGAACAAGAAGCTACAAGTAACAAAGGCCCGCAAACAAAAACTGTATTTGAGTGTTTAGACTACACCTTCTCGAAGGATCTTGGAAGAAATGGATGGAAGAAATGGTGACGAAGTGTCCTGGCAAACAACCAGATGCACGCGGCCTTTGGCGGACCAGGACGTGTGCCCATCTGTGCCTGTGCCGGAAGTATGCGAGATGTGCAGGAATCTGCCTGGGATGCCTACTAAAATCTACGAATTAATGTCTGCGCTAAAAGACACTTCCGAGAACGATTTGAAGGCTGTCTTCGGACTCACATAATGTTGGTGATGCTTGTCTGCTCACTATAAATGCTCAACATTCCAATCATGAAAGTACCCTGCTGTGATAGCTTTGCATTTTGAGGTCCACGATGCATGCAGTGTCTTCAATGTCCAGGATGTCAATTGTATATTGAATATTGTATACTAATTGGGTGCGTGCCGGGTTGTGCATCAATTCGCATTCTTTCTGACTTTGCTGTTTCTGTACTTTCTGCATTGCTGGACTTGGCTGAATCAGGAGTCTTCAGGTCCTGCCTGTAGCTGGACAGACTGCTTTGTTTCGCTCACATTGCCCTGCCGCAGCGGAAATTCATGAGACTTCTGGCTGCAGAAGTGGTAAACTCGAATGTATGAATGTTAAAAAGGAAACATGAAGGACATTGCAACCATATGTGAACAACTATAAACCAGCAAGAAAAGACTCGCTCTTTTCAAAGATGGGCCTGTAGCCGTTCCAGCATCTTTTGCACAGAATCGGCATCTTTCTTGGTCTGTGGGGTCTCGTCCTTGGCGAACTCGGCGCATGGAAGGCTCCCACTGGGACTGCCGCCAGTCTTCGATCTGCAGACCCTGAGGCGCCCAGCATCGAAGGCACCCCGTCGCAGGAAGCCCTTCAGCGTCGTCAGCTCCGACCTGGGCGGTAGAACCGATGAGTCTTGAGATGTTCAAGCCACCTGGTCTTTGGCAGTGAAAGACGTGTGTGACATATTCAGGAGTAGGAGAAGGCAGTGGATGGCTGCAGTCTCAGATTAGTTGGACTATCAGGCCGAAGCTTCAAAGTTTAACATTGAAGGAAAGTAAAAGCAGCACATAGCAAAACGCATGGGTGGCACGATCAATGAGCCTAGATTGGCTCATCATCCTTGCTTGTTTACACAAAAAGGTTGAGATAATCTTGGATAGCTTTTGATAGTCTTGATCCAAACCGGTGAAGCTACAGCAAAAGACGAGCAAAGGGCATCGCTACTAGGAGCAAGGACGCTACTAGGGGCTCCTGGCCTTGCTACTAGGAACAAGGACGCTACTAGGAGCTCCAAAAATAGAGGCAACAGCTACAGCAAAAGTCAGCGTTTCATGTCGTGACCAGCCTCTTCACAGCAACAGAGTGTGAAGCATGTAGCTTGCATGTAGCTTGCAGCTTGCACTTGGTGTCCAGCATTTTCCGTTGGGATGTGCCAAAAGTCATGGGCTGAGCACTGCCAGGTAGTACCTGCCAGGTGCTGCTGATCCCGCCTGTTTGAACCCAGTTGTTCCTTCTGTGCAGCTGTCACTGATCCGAGCTACATGATCTTGTCTTTCGTTAGCAACCAGCCTCCATGGGTGGTAACAGGTCCCTTTGACTCAGTGTGACAGCTTCTAGGTCCCGAACACTGGGCACAGGCGGTGCCTGAAAGAACCCCATGTGGGAGTCCACATCAGGCTCTTTGCGGCACAAGTTGATGCAAAACAAATTGGCGGGAATCAGTGCAGGTCTGTGTACGTCTTCCAGACTCTGATGTCTTTTTTGGATTAGCGGCTCCAATGCTTAGCAATCACCCACTGACACTCGTCCCCAATGTCTGAGCTTCCAACTGGAGGAGCATCCGGCGGTGAACTGGCACATGGAGGCATTTAGGCATGAGTTTGTCCAATCGAAGCAGGCAACATCTTTTCGGCCAAGTAAACAAGAAGGGGATAAGACTTTGAGTTCTATTTAGGACTGTAGTAACCACTCTGATTTGTTCAAGCATTGTTTGCAATGCTTTTTTGGAGGCCTTGCAAGGATAGGTTGCTGTGGAAGACAAAAAGAGTGCCTCATTGAGTTGCTGCGCAAGCCCAGGATCGACTGGACCTCGGAGGCTTGGCTTAAGGTTCTTGATGACAGAGCTGAGAACAGGGTTAATTAAGTGAGAACAAGAAGAGTTCACTGAAGCAGGTTGGTCAAAGATGATCAAAGGGTCACCAAGCCCAACACACTGCTGCAAGCAGCCACAAAGGCCGTATCCAAACCACTAGTGTCACGGACACTGGTCTCAATCGACACATATCGACACGGCTTGCGGTCCAGAACCGCCATTTCCCTACCAAAAACAGAGAGCAGCAGCAGCTGCTTGGATCCCAAACGACAGAGCCTTCCTCCATGCCCTCAGGCCGGGTGGTTTGCAAGCCACGAACCCAGAATGTTCGGCCAAAGAGGCGGTGCTGTGGTCAACAAGAAGCTACTAGTAACTAGTGCATCGCTACTAGTAACAAGTGCCTTACTAGTAGTAACAAGAAGCTATTAGAAACAAGAAGCTGTGGTGTTAGGTTTAGCTTTTTAGTTTACAAATTGCAAGAGTGGCGCGTGGTTGCATGTCAAAGCAAAATGTTGATCCACAGAAGAAAGCGACATGAAGCTTAAGCTTGCTGATCGGCCAACTTCCCAGCAAGAATTCTGCCACCCAATCCAGCCTGGCCATATCCCATTTGCCCCATGTCCATAGACCTGGGTACAGTGGAGAGCAAATACCTTCCTTCTTTTGCGCAGAATCATTCAGTTGGTTGGGCTTTGGTTGGGCTTTGGTCAGATTCCAATCTGAGGCCAGCAACATGTGATCTGGCAAAGGTGGCGGCGGTGGAGGCACAACTGGCCTTGGCGACTGCTCTTAGCGGTCGATAACGGTGGGAGAGAGTAATTAGAATAGACAGCTTCACTTCGTGTTGCAGTCGACTACTTCTGACTTCTCTTTTGTCTTGGCGACACTGAGTTTTCGGCTCTTCCAACTCTCCTGCTTGGGCTCGATCCGCCAGGCGCTGCAACGCCTTTGCAACGGCCGATGCCAAGGCAGCCGATGTGAAGAAACCGATCCACGCCTTTGAAATGCTGATTGAAACCCATGGAACAGGTCCATAGAAAAAGATCTCTCTGAGTCTTTCTCTCAAGCCTTTGCCATCCCCTAAAGTGAAAGCTAACAACCATACAGGACTTAGGGGACACCAAAATTGTTTACATAATATGCGTATATTATATTTATGTGTATATATATATTGACATACATACACATGCACCCACCTTGCTGTGCCCTCCCAAGCAAACGCAAGGCAACACTCGAACACTTTTCTTCACACCCCGCTGCAGCTGCACACTGTGGCCTGTTAGGAAAGCGAGATTCCAAAAAGTGCACACTCACAAAGCCTCATCACTTGCAAGATGGGAGTATCATATCATAGAGTACCTAGCCTCTACCCAGCATATGTTGCAAAAGAAGTTTCTTGGGACTTTCTCCGACATGTAGAAACGCAAAAACAACAGCGCCCGCAGACCTCATGGGCCAATGTACGTCACCAGTGTGCTTCGAAATCCACGCTGCAGCTCTTCCCGATCCAAGTTCCGGCCAATGAAAATCAGCCTTAGTAACTATAAGTGGATTGGTAGTGTGTTTGCGCACCCGTCTCATTGGAAGCACCAACCCACTTACTTATCACATAATTTCAGGTATATTTGTCTTTCATGTGTGCACGAGGGAGCATACAATGGCCTCACCGTAGACTAAATGAACTGTCAAATGTGGTGGATGAACACGTTAGGGTTGCTGCTAAGTCTGGGCCTCTTGTGAATGCTTCATAGAGGCTTCACCCGCCGTGCTGAGATACCCTTTAGAGGCGGCAGCGCTACAAACACGTGACATTTATGTATGAAACATTCAAGGCTGCCCCGAGTAAAGCGAGTTTCTGCTACCCGCCCAATCTAAACTTCTCAATATTGTCCTATTTGGACCAGCCACCGGTTGACACGCTCTTCTTCTTCAGGCCAATCATCCTGCGGCTGCCCACCAAATATCATGTGAATGCCTCGCAGTGTGCGCGGGCAAAAAAACAGATGAATGGCGGCAAAGCCTTGCTCATATTCTATACATCCGCCAGGACAACAACTACCTTTTCGAAAGATTTCAGAAAAAAACAACAGAAAAATCAGAAAATCTCAACGGCGCATGGCCTTGAAAAACGAATCGCTGGTTGCAGCCTTTCACCTCAGGGTGTGGCTTGAAGAACTTGTTGCCACTCTCACGCTGGGCATGAGAAGTGTCTAACACGATCTCTCGGGCATGCTCAAGCTGAGGTGGTAGGGATCTCACTATGAAGAAACCTAGCAGCTATATAAGTTGTTCAAGCTCACCCAAGACATCTACCCGCCAAGGCACTGCAAGAACACCTTTGGTTCGGAAAATGTCGACACCGCGCTCACGCAGAAGGGTGGCAATCCAAATGTTGAGTTTCTCTTGGTCACATTCACCTGGGCATTCAATTCCGACCTGAGCTGGCTCTGCTGTTTCCGCGGACTGGTAAGCAAGAAAGTCGCAAAACATTCGTCGGAACTATATAAACGTTGGTGAGCCTATGATCAGCGTCCCCCGCGCGAGTGGGCAAGAGTCAGTGAAGAGGCAAAACCAACGGCCATTGGGATCCCTCGACCCCCCACACAAAGCTGACGCAAGTGGAGTGGTTCATGTGTGTGTGCCCCTTGTAGTCACAGATTCTTTTGAGTTGTACACTGAGCTTTCTTCATTTAGAGCACGGGGGCACGGCACCAGATTGCATAGCTTTGTCTGCAATCTGGTGGGATATCCAGCTTGGCCAGCTGGACGTACCTGCAACAATTTTAAGATTTGTAAGGGGCTAATGCACTCGGCAGACAAGAGCGTACGTCGTCATCCTGTCGGCTCGTCGCATGGTGGAGTTTGACTTCTGGCCTTTAACTAAAGGCGCGCAGCCACCCTCACCTGGTTTTTCAGGATTTGGTTTCTTAGGCTGACCGCTTTCAGTTCAGTACACCCTATCCTAAGTGCGCCTGGCCTCTGCCAGCCCGGGATGAGCCCGAAGAGTGCCTCCCGTGGACCCGTCGAACGGGGGTTTGTCCTTATCTCCCCTGCCCGGAGATGTACGTGCCCAGAGCGGGCGAAGTAGGCTTCGGCCAACGTTATTTGCCAAGACTTGCTGAATGATTGAATTCCAAGATGGCTCGTGCCTTTACGTGACCGCAGCGGTCAGAGCAGCCAGCCATTTTGGCAAGGCACAAGGTGACCATAGCGGTCAAAGCAAGTTTAAGGTTCATTGGAACCTGTCCCACTCTCAGGTGCACACACAGCGCATACAATCAAACGAGGCGAGGTCCCTAGGCGTTTCTAGTGAGGTTTGGTTTCATCGGTTCTCGTCCCCTCCATTTGGTTCCCCTTTCATCCTTTCCCCTTCACACACTTCTGTTTCCTCTTTTTTTTTTCATGTCCTCCTGTCTTCATGTTTCGTCATCTCATCCTTTCCTTTGTTTGCGCGCACATCGGTCCTGGCCTTAGCGTGTACGTGCACATCTACAACCCAGTTTTTAGGTCGCCCAGGTCTCGACAATGAGGTGAGGCTCATCGGTTGTCCCTGTGCACTTGGTTTCTCTTTCATCGCAACCACGCACACTTTTGCCCCGTCTCGTCCTCCTCTCATGTCTTCATCTTTCTGGTCTTTCCTGCGCGCACATTTGCACATTCGTCCCAGCCTTAATTTTTGCCTCCCCTCGGGGAGGCGTGTGTGTGTGCCCCTTGTAGTCACAGGGATTCTTTTGAGTTGTACACTGAGCTTTCTTCATTTAGGCAGGGAACACGGCACCAGATTGCAGACCCTGTCTAACAAAGCTATGCAGTCTGGTGGGATATCCAGCTTGGCCAGCTGGACGTACCTGCAACAATTTCAAGATCTGTAAAGGGCTAATGCACTCGGCAGACAAGAGCGTACGTCGTCATCCTGTCGGCTCGTCGCATGGTGGAGTTTGACTTCTGGCCTTTAACTAAAGGCGCGCAGCCCCCCTCACCTGGTTTTTCAGGATTTGGTTTCTTAGGCTGGCGAGTGGCACCGCTTTCAGTTCAGTACACCCTATCCTAAGTGTGTGTGCGTGTACACCTTGGATTCCGAGGTTGTCTTTTGACATGCTTTTAATTTTACAGAGCAGGGGAGCGGTGGGCATACTTGAGGTCACCACTCAAGGAAGACACTTCAAGTTCTGTGATATGCAATCTGGACGCAGATTGCACTTACCTGCCAGATTGCGATCGCCACGTATTCTCTTCTGGGCCCCCTTTCGTTACTATATAGAGCAATCATTTCAACCTTTGCGGCGGCTTCCGATGTGGAGGCACGCATCGTTTTTGTACATGTGGACCGCGTGGAGTCAAGTGGACCTTCGAGACTCTAGTAGCTTCTTGTTACTAGTAGTAAGGCACTTGTTACTAGTAGTAAGGCCAGGAGCCCCTAGTAGCATCCTTGCTCCTAGTAGCGATGCCAGGAGCCCCTAGTAGCTTCTTGTTCCTAGTAGCTATGTGTAGTTCTTGGTGGTTGGACCCCGCTGCACTACTTATTAGGTTGTCCCCTTCTAGTTTATCCAGGGCTTGTGGCATTCTATAGCTCGAGTGTGTCTGCGTGTTTGTTTCAATGTGTATATATTGTGTTTAAAAATACATATATATATATACATATACTAGTACTAGGTAATGATATATACTTACAAAGCAAGCCTATACTGTATGCCTACACTATCTTCATGTCAACCATGACGCCAAACTGGGGCACCTCCCACGCAAAAGTTCAAGAGAACTGAGCTCCCCCCGACTGAGCTGACGGACTGATCGTGCTGGTGATCTTGATCATCCTTTAGAAACTCCGTATCACTCTCAAGGACGCGGTCCAACGAGAATCCCCGAATGCCTCAGCGGGCGAGCTAGCTCCCTTCACTTTTAGGGTGCCATCAAATATGTTCTAACAAAAGTTAAGGGAGATATCAATTTTGGAGAAAGCAAATGTTGGTTACACGAAGAGGAGATCAGAGATAGTTGTCTTGAAGTTGTGGTGCGAAATGGGATTTTGATCAAGGCTTTTGCTGCACAATCCAGATTCTAGAGTCAAACCGCTTCCCTTCACTGTGAACCACAGCAAAGATGTAAACTACACGCATGATGACCATTTGTTTTCGAGCCTGTTCTTGACAAAACATGAAGAAACACTTGGAACTGTAATGGCATGGCCAGCAGCCAATGATCTCATCCACTGCCACTTTGGAGTTCCTCAGATGAACCCGCTACTCCACTGGCAACCCGACAAGTGTAGCTCAAAACTCCAACAACTCAATGGACTGAGGAATTCATTGAAAACCTGACCCGAAAGGGTTCCTCCTTAGAGCCTTAGAGAGTGAAAAGAACAATTGCAAGAAGCTACTAGTAACAAGGGCGCATCGCTACTAGTAACAAGTGCATTACTAGTAGTAGCAAGAAGCTACGAGTATGTGTAAAAGAATAAATATAGCCTCTTGTTTTCCTACCTGGAAGAACTCTTTTCGGCACCCACCATCGGCTCCACCCTGGAAGAGCCCAAGGGGCTGTGTGTAGATCATGGGGGCCACGGCGTTGATCTTCCGCACCTCATACGTCAACCCTTCCAGCTCCGCCGCGTCGACCTCCGGTCGCCGGAGTCAAACCAAAGCTCCGAAGGCGTCGCAGGGCGGAGCGAGCGTCGTGTGGCTCGTCGTTTGGATTAGCTCTTTCGCTGCAAGCTGGAAGCGATGGCCTCCAACCTAAAGCAATGGCCGGCAGTCTACGCCCCAAGTCTTTGTGTAGCGAGCCCTGAAACCCTTAGAGGTCATTGAGTGCTTGAAGCTTGGCCAAAAAGAGATGCTTCTCCCTGCGTTATTAAGACCGCACTTGGCGTATCGCCCACAAACCACAATTGAAGATTGTATGCCCCGTTTAGTTAGCACCACCAATTCTGTCTGCAAGATCAACCCTACACCAAACAATGATCACCCGCCGACTGTTGAAAGCATGAACCTCTTTGGGCCCATGAAACACTAAAAAAACGCCCTTCATATCACATTTGTCCTTATGGCAAAGACAGGGCGCTTTGATCATGTGTCTTATCCATGAGGCATTGTTCAAGATTATATAATTCAATGCACTAACAGAATCAGAACAAAGCACATAAATCGCAAAGCAGGCTGCTGGCTGTCACGCAATCACAATCTCAAGAGTCTTGAGTCTTAAGTGTCAGACCTCTCCAGGCTAAGAACTCTTGGTTGCTAGTAGGATGGAGGCCATCGCTAGTAGGATGGAGGCCATCGCTAG